CCCCCCCCCGTGCTCTCCCAAATTCATAGCCTCTTTTTCTTTCATTGTTGTTGTACACACGCACGCACGCGCACACAGGCACACGCACACACACACACACGCACACGCATGCACATATATATATATATATATATATATATATGTTTATATATATTCTTAAGTACATAAACACAATCTGTTCAGTCTGTGTCATGTTTTGAGACCAGATCTCATGTTTCACTGGAGCACGTGCCTCCTCGATGGCCCACAAGCTTCTGGAAGTTCTCCTGTCTCACCCGGTGTACACACGCACACATTTAACTTTACATGGCCAGTGAAGATTCAAACTTACACCTGTGTTTGACCCACTGAGCACCCTTTTCAGCCCCAAGCCAATTGTGGTAAAATTAGGAAATGAGATTAGAAATCTCTGCCCTCCAGGTTCAAAGCCTTTAGTTTAAACACATCCCATCACCACACTACAATGCATGTCTGGTAAAGTTATTTTTCACCGAACTTGTTGAAGTTTTCCATTTGTTTAATTTGCTGTCTTGGAGGCAGCGTGGGCTTTTTCTGGTGCACTTTGTGACTGTCTCTAGTGGAGGTTGTTGATATCCACAGTCAGTGAACTGTTGTTGCTAAGGGGGCCGTGGAAGATGAGCACCGTGAGGGAAGAACAGGTGTGCGCATCGTGAAAAAGTAAGAGGACAAACCAAACCAAACCAAACCAAGCTGGTAAGATGAGCAGGCAGCGGGACCTCCTGCGTGAGCAGGCCTACATGAGGGGCCTCAGGGTAGTATGTGGCTAGTTATGCCCGCTCCCTCTAATCACCCAGCACAGGTTTCCAGGAAGCCAAAAAGAGCAGCCCAGCCTTTTGCTGACTCAGGTATCACTGAAGCAGGCCAGCTCAGAGGGTCCTGGTCAGTGACCTCAGAGCCAGCTGAGAGTGCCAGCCATTTATTACAAGGTTGGGGTCAAACCACTGACTGCCAACAAGGAGCACTCTGGCAAACCTTAATGCCAAAGGGTGGCATAGCTACCCACGAGGAAACCTCACAATAAGACCAAGTTCAAGAAAAGTTAAAAGGACTAGCCCAGCACAGTGAGGTCAGAAAATGCTTTTGTCATGGTTAGATAAAAAATGGCCTCTCTTTCCCCCCTCCTCTCTCTCTCTCTCTCTCTCTCTCTCTCTCTCTCTCTCTCTCTCTCTCTCTCTCTCTCTCTGTGTGTGTGTATTTATTCGCTTTAAAATGTCTAAGGCATTCTCAACTCCAGAGTCTCAACAAAACAGGTCATGAGATGGAGTTGGCCTGTAAGCCAGATTTGTCCTGTGTAGTGATTTCCCAACCCTGCAAACTCTATTGAATGAAATCGTTGCTGGCCTACTGTGTGTTAGGCATTGTGTAAAGAGCAGAACTCGATAGATGGATGCACTGTTCCCAACATCAAGAAACGTCTCCTTGAAGAGCCTCTAGCAATGTGCGGAGAGATCAGGGCACAGCTGAAAACACGAGAAGCCGTCCTGTGCAGCACCGAATGCAGTCTCCACATTAGCTTCGTGCCGCTACCAGGGCTCAGTCACCTTGCTGTCTCTGCCACCTTGCACACAGAAGGGCCTCAGAACCCCTTTAGCTGAGATTTATGTCTTCTTTAAAAGCTGTCTGTGTGCTGGGCATGACAGCACAAACCTATAAATCCGGCACTCAGGAGTCAGAGGCAGGGGGATCAAGACTGAGGCTAACCTGATCTACACAGTGAGTTCCAGGCCAGCAAAGGCTACACAGTGAGACTACTTTTTTTTTTTAAATTTCTTATGTGAAGAAGCACTCAATACAGTGTGTGAATGCACGGACCGTGTTTAACCAAGCTCTGCACGCAGAGTTCACTAGCGTTTCCCCTGATTTATACCGTCTAGCACAGCCGTTACTTTCCCATAATCTCACTGGATTAACACAACCTGCGTCTGCAGTCGATGTCTGCTATGTAGTAGGAACTACAGATTTCTTAAACTGCAAATTCAAACTAGTCTGTGGGCCTCTTCTGAGTTCCCCCTTCACTGTTTAGAAGCTTGTAAGGAGCGCAATTGATCTGGCGGGAGCTACGGCTCTGAGGTTAGGAGCCAGTGCTGTACTTGCAGAGGACCCGGGTTTGATTCCCAGCATGCACACGGCAGCAAACAACCAGCTGGGACTTCTGGTCGGAGGGCGCCTGTCTCACATGTTGCATACATAAACTCTCAGGCACGTGCCTATCTGTTCATATTTCTTCATCTTCAAGTCTGCTGGCAGGTCCACAGAGAACAGTCTTTATTTTCCTTACCATGTTTTTTCTTTCTAGCATTCCCTCTGATTCTTTCCTGGAATTTCTCTCTTTACTGGCGTTATCCATCTTTCCACAGATAAGGTTTTTTCTTTGAGTACTTTCTTAAATTTCCCATCTGCTCACTGTAGTGCCTTCCCTGTACCAGAGTTGGGTTCTAATGGTTGCTTTGTCTCTTTAGATTTTTGTCTTTCTTGGCTTTGGAGGGCTTTGTGATTTTTTTCCATTGAAAACAGGGCTTGGTGCATTGGGCAACTTGGACTTTAACGTGAGGATTTAAGTTAATCTGGCTGGGACATTTTCAGTAGCTGGGATGCCAGAGACTCAAATTCCTTGAGTGCCTTTGATTCCTGTCTTTATTTGGACCCATCACAGGGAGGCCACGCTCCACAGCTCTTTCCATGGCTGTTCTTGGTATGGTAGAGCCCATCCCTGTGGTGGAAACTGTGGGAGGGAGTGTCCCATGGTATTCTAATTTGATCTCAATAAGGCTGTCTAACAGTCTATTCCCTGGAAACCCATCCTCTGTGCGCTGTTTATGAGACCACCCGGTGTCCAATGAGGCTGGCTTGAAGGTGCTGGGGTGAGGGGAATGCCTTCCTCACCTCGATCCTTCCCATGACAACTTAGGAAAGTCTTGGAAAGTCAGAGACTTTCCACAGTGACGGTTCTCCTCTTCCGAACCTACAAAGGAATCTTTCTCAAACAATAAGCCTAAGAAGGAAAAGTGTTCTGGAGAGAACTGCCAGCCTCCCTCAAGACTGTGGTGTCCAGCGGTGTCTCACTGTGTGTCTGGGACATACTCAGCCCCTCCGGTTCTGCAGAAATACCACCATAGTGTTCTTACCACTCACCTAGCAAGTTTAACTCCGCATGAGCAGAGCTCAGGTAGAACTTCCTGAGTGTGGTCATACCTTCAGCATGGCTCTCAGATGAACGAAAGGAATGTTGCTTTCTTGTTTATTGGGTGTTTCTTATTAAAAGGGTGGGAGTAACACCTGCCAAGCTCTTCATAAATCAGAACCTAACATGTATAAGCACAAGCAGAAAATACATTTTCAAGCCAGCTTCAATGATTTTTCTTTAATGATTACAGACCAAGACTAAAATACCAGTGCCCCTGAGTTATAGAAGACTATCTAAGATATAAACAGCTAGCTATAAGACCAACAAGACATAGAGTGGTAGCAAATATTTTATACATTTCACATACATAACTTCACACATAGACCAGTGATATGATTAAAGTATGACTTCAACTCTTAACCTATCTAGTCATAGTACTTAATCAGCTCAGAATGCATTCCAATTTCTTTACCAAGTTTACAACACACTGCACACTGGGATTATCAGGTGCTGACAAAGGCCGTGATCTGTGAGCCTGAAGACCTAGGACTCTCACCACAGATGACGAGGGCACAAATGAAAACCTCAAGTAACAAAAGCTTACATAAAAATAATGATTTTTAGTATACTGCAGAAGACCATCCATTGACAACAGCATTCTGGTTTGTTTTCTGTTGCTGCCTAGGGATTAGACGTCTCACAGTAGGCCAGACAACTACACCAGTTGACAATTAAGAAAAGGTTCCACAGACGCACCTACAGGCTAACTCAATGGGTGTGGTCCCTCAGTTGAGGCTCTCTGTTCCCAAGGATGTCAAGTTGATAACCAAGATAAACAAAATATTAGATGCGGTATTTTAAATACTTTTATGGCTAGTCTATTGGTATATGACTTCATAGTTGAACATTAAACAGAACAAATAATTTAGAACTACACCTACTAAGCACTGAGTGGCAGAGGCGGTGATCCCCAAAGAAGACTGGTACCCCATGTATAGAATTCCGTAGGGTACTCATCACCACCCCCTATGGTAGACACCTCAAAGACCCTGATGACATTAAATGGTACTGCTAGCCGAGCTGACCCACCAAACCCATGCGATATTACACAATGAGATTGAGGACACCAGAGGTGACGCACCAAACACATGTCGTATTATATAATGAGATTGAGGCCACTGAGCAAGACTTGTCAAAGAAAACTTAAAACTACTTCGTAGTCCTTTGGCGACTGTTCATTTCAGGTGAGGAAAGAAAATTGAAATCTAAGAAAAGGCTTTGGTGTCAAAAAGAGTGGTAACCCAGTGCCCTTTACAAAAATCCACCCACCTCTGTAGAAGTCCACCCACCCCTGCAGAAGTTGAATCCTTTTAGTCAAACAAGAATTCGTGATCCACAGCTCACATTTCAAAAATGAAAGCTACTTTAAAAACATGACTATTTAAATAGGAAGCTGGTTCACATTGTGAAGTAAAGTTAAATACTAGCCTTGCATCGGCGCTCACTGACCACTTGTGGCTAGGCGCTACATCCCTGATATTGCAAGGTACAGAACACTCTCAACCCTGAAGGTCCTCCTGGGGCTGTGCTGCGCCACACCCCTCATTTCCTGTACTTCAGTTTGCAAGAAACGTTTAGCAACCCCATAGCTAATGCATTTCTGCAGTGCCCAGGGGCCTTAATGACACATGCATTTTGTAAGCATTTTTGCTTTTGACTTTGGAAGGCAAACTTCTTCCCAGAAAATGCTGGGACACCTACCAGAAGCTTTTGACTTCGAAACCACCTTGGATCCACGGCATTGATTTATTATATTATCATTTTGCTAATGGCTGTTGTCTTGGTTAAAGCAGCCTTGACTGAAGGTGTGTTCCCTTATTTACCCTCTCTGGTTACTCTTACACTTCCTTTTCAGAAAGGTTTGTTAGTTTCTCCTGCCAACCTGCCCTTCTGGAGCCCTTGAGTGAAAACCAGCTTTGTCCAGTTTTCATCTTCTCCCTCGGGTCTGGCCACTCCTTCACCTTTTCTTGAGCTCTGTGATCCTCTCTCTGTGCTGGACCCACCGAGTTTATAATTGAAGAGACGACCTGTGACGAGACACATAGAACTCAGAATCTCATTAAGTCAATGGCAGTGGCTAGTGAGTGGTAACAAGTTAAAATGTTAACGTGATTAGCTTCTCACACTAGCCAGCTATTGTGGAGCCAAGGGCAGGGCCCAGGAAAACAGCACATGGGAGAAGAAGCATTTAATGGAAGCGAGGGCTAAGACACGAGAGGCCCACAGAAAGAGAGGTAGAGGCCCGGGAGGAAAGGCACTGAGTAGTGAGAGGTATAGAGACAGAGAGAAAAGGGGATGAAAAGGGAAGAGGGTGGAGGTGACTGGTCAACTTCCTCTGTCTGTAGAAGTCACAGGCATCTGCTCAACCTGTGTTTATCGAGTTTCTGTCAGGGTGTTTGTAACCTCTGACAGAAGGACACAAATATGAGATGGGGTGAACAGCTGCATGGGTCCCTGGACACAATGGGCTTCTGTCTCGTAGGCTGGATCCCCAGAACAGTGAAAACAACATCACAGGAGAAGCCAAGAGCAAATCCCATTGTCAGCTGAGCCTTCGGACTCTTGGTGTTCTCTTTCCTGCAAGTGAACAATGAGGAAAACAAGGGTCTCTCTGATTCCTTGGTGGAAGGCAGCACTTCCTAAACTAGGGTAGAGAGAGCAAGAGCAGACGGAGCCTGACACCTTCTCACAGAGTGCCTCCATCTCCATCTGTTCATCGATCAGCCTCCGTAGCCCAATGATTATGATGCTGTGTTTGTTAGGACTGACTGGGCCAATGATGATGCTGTGTTTGTTAGGACTGACTGGACCAATGATGATGCTGTGTTTGTTAGGACTGACTGGACCAATGATGATGCTGTGTTTGTTAGGACTGACTGGACCAGTGATGATGCTGTGTTTGTCAGGACTGACTGTAGCAACGATGATGCTGTGTTTGTTAGGACTGACTGTAGTAACGATGATGCTGTGTTTGTTAGGACTGACTGTAGCAATGATGATGCTGTGTTTGTTAGAACTGATTGGACCAACAATGCTGTTTGTTAGGACTGGCTGTACCAACGATGCTGTGTTTGTGTGTTTGTTAGAACTGACTGTATCACTGCCTTGGAGCTTTTCTCTGACTCGTAAACCCTCGAGTACATGTTAGAAAGTTAAATGTGCAGGAAGAGAGGAGGCAGAGGGAGGAAGGAGACATGGAGCGAGACTACTCAGCACTAGAGCCCCCCGGGACTGAAGAGACTGGTTGTCTCCACAAAGCAAGCCACAGAGTAGCGTTTCCAGTAACTTGTACTTGTGAATGAGATAGGGGGACAGAGATCACCCGCCCGCTGTTTTCAGGAAGCTTGTATGGAAGTGGACAGATCGTTAAACAAATACAGCAAAATTCACGCGTGCCTATGACTTATGATTTTGGAAACCTGTTTGCACACTTGCTGAGGAGAGAGGTGAGGTGTGCTGATTTGTCAGGCAGGTAAAGGCCAACTTGTGAAGTTCCAGGGTCACCACTTTGGGGAAAAATTAGCCTTTGCCAACATACGTTCCTCACTAGAAGGTTGGCACAGGGAACCATCTAGTCTAAAAAATCAAACCCTCCACTTAGAAAAGTACTCGACCATGATTTAGAGAGAAGTCTATTTCTCTTTTCAAATTGTCCAACTTGCTGTGGTGCACTCCACATCTGATTACATTAGTCACATTGCATTACACCACATCCGATGTGACACGATGCCGTGGGTATGCGAGCCCCGTATAAAGATGGACCAGCAGCTGCTCTTGATGGCAGAGCTCAGCCACCCTCCTTCCTGGGAACACCTTGCTAATTCAGGTAAGTGTCAGAGTCCCCTCTCAGGAAGGACACTCCATTGGCTACACTGTCCTTACCCAAGTTACCAGACAAGGACTCTAGAGCCCTTCCTTAAATATAGCTGCTTCTGCTATCCTGGGCCCACCCTAGAATTTTCTTTCTCTCGGCCACTGTCAGCAGTGATGCCCTCAAGTGTCCAGAACATTCCCATTTTCAAGGTACTTTCAAATTTACTATTATATTCATATCCCACACTCTTAGAAGCCCAACCTCAGCAGAGACTGCCACATCTGGTTATCTGATTGTGTGTGTGTGTGTGTGTGTGTGTGTGTGTGTGTGTGTGTGTGTGTGTGTTTATGTGGGTTGATGCAAGTGTGTGGAGGTCAGAGGGCAAACTTTAGTGTTATTCCTCATGCACACCAACCTTGTTTTTTGACACGGGGATTCCCAGTGGTTTACAACTAGTCATAGGCTGGGTAGCCCAGCCTTCAAGCCCCATGCACCTACCTGCCCCTAGCTCCCCAGCATGGGGATTACCACAGTGTGCTACCACACCAGCCCTTTGATATGTGTTCTGGGGATTGAACTTGGGTCCAACTGAGTTATCTCCCTGATTTTAAATGGTCAGAAAGTAGTGTCTTTCTTTCCCTGGAACTTTTCTTTATGTTGGGTGAGGACACCAGCTGTGATCACAGCCCATCTCTGTAGTAGAGAAAAGCCATCCAGCTGTGGCCATGTGTGGCTGACGCTCATAGGCACCTTGATGAGGAGCTACTTTGCATTTGGTGTTTCATAGAACTAAATTTTGTTTTGATCTTAGTCTGATTAAAAGGAAACTCTTGGAAGCACATATCATAATAATAGTACAATAACTTCAAGATGAGTTAAGATGTTTTCCACAGAGGAAAGTAAAAATATCATCTTCCCAGGCAACATAAGACTGACCAGTCATAGCATGATTAAAACAAACCTCTTTCAAAAGTTGTGCTCAATTCTTACAATAGGCTTTCTTCCTTTCATCGTTTTCAAGTGAATCAGAGCAGCTTCTAGAATTTCATCATAGAGATCCCAGGATCCTGGCTCCAGGTTCATGCTGTCCAAGGAAAAAAATTCATGAATGTCAGCCATTATAACCTGACAGCAACTTCAAGGGCAGTAATGTGGGTGGTGTCATCCTTTCCTACAAAAAGCAAAACCCTTCTAAGAACTGCCGTTCTCCCCACCAATAGACTTCCTCTCTAATTCTTAGAATTTTGCACCCAACCAGTGTACATGTATGGATGTGTGTGTGTGTGTGTGTGTGTGTGTGTGTGTGTGTATGCACACATGTGTACATGCACACATGGGTGCATCTATGTTCCTGTGTGCTGTGTGCGCATGCGTGCATGTGTGCTGAGTCTGGAAGTCAACATCACAGGCATCTTCTCCCGTCATGTACCACCTTATTTTCTGAGGCAGGTCTCTGAACCTGGGGCTCACTACAGCCAGGCTGCTGACAGCAAGGCGTGGGATTTCAGGCAGAAGCTACTGTGCTCAGTTTTTTTGTTTTGTTTTATTTTTGTTTTTGTTTTTCAACATGGGTGCTGGGGATTGAACCCAGGCTCCCTCACTTGTGAAGGTAAGCTCCTTACTGAATGACCCATCTGCCCAGACATCTCCACAATTTCTTAAATCAACTTCTGGCCAGAAGAATGGAATTATCACATCTGAACAGGGCTGAGGCCACCATGTTTAGAACATTCCATCTGCCTTGTATGGAAGCCCTAAGAAAAACTCCACTCCAACAGCCGACGGGAAGTAGCAGGAGCGTGACGAAGGCCAGCGGGGAAAACACTTGATAATCGTCAGCCTGGCTTGCAGTTCCCCTGGAGGTAGAAAGGATCAGTCCTAGGTGTCTTCACACTGTCATACACACCATTCCTCATGACCAGGCTCTCCGCATCTGGAGGTGAGGAAGGGTCCAACTCCCAAGGAGTGTTTAGTCCACTCAGAGAAGACCATAATTTTTGTTTTCAAGACATATGTATATTCTTCCTTCCACATGGCAGACACATACATTGATACAGATACATATATATTTACATCTATCTGCTGTGGCCTTCCTAAGATTGTATTCCACCAAGATTTCTAAAATTAATTCCTGCAATACCTAAGACTGACCTTCTCTTGGTCTAATAAGGCGCCTTGGGCCAACCCTTGAAGTTAATCGGCTAACTGACTTAAGTTGCTAGTCATTGCACCTTGGTATAAACTAATTTCATCAAATAAAAAGATTTATGAATTCCCTTGGGGAAAACACAATTAAAAGCTCAGAGAGAAGAATGGGGCATCGAAGCTGCATCTTCCTGATGACACCCACTTACCTAAGATGCATGCCAGCTTGCTGCGATGTCCCAGCTCAGGGAGGCAACCTGGCTGAACTGAGACTTAGAACACCTGTGGAGATAAATTTCTAGTAAACCCTGGAAGAAAGTCCCGGCTACGGAGAGAATGAATTAATTCCTTTGCCTAACATTTCTTGAATACCAACCCTGAACCAGGCACTGTGCTAGACATTGGATGTGCAGTTTGAATGTGAGTAATGTAAGTATCAGATTTGTCTGGGGAGGGGAAGATGGACAGCCCAGAGGAGCAGAGCGTGTCCCAGCATTGATTCAAGAGATGACATGGAAAATCTGGAAGCAGGTGACATCCGGGCTAGCGGGAGTTAAGTGATATTCAAGGCTGCGGAACTCTTGACTCTGACTTTTGGAAATGAAACAGCAATGGGAGACAGCAGTTACAAATGGACAAGGTCATTAGATAAGAGCCCGGAGGAGGAACGCAAAGTCCAGCTACCATCATGCCTGGAAGGAAACTTGTAGATAGAAGACACCTCCTTAGGAAAATTAGAACACACTATCAGAGCTGAGTCACATGGCACAGGGACGCCAAGCTCCTAGCTTAAGATCAGGATTGGATCTGGTGCCCAGAGCAGAGCTAACCACTACCCAGCTCTCAGGAGGGGCTAGGAATCAGGATTTCCACCCTCCGGCCACCACCCTCTTCTAGCAAAGCCTCTTTCTTGACATGCCAATCCTCATTTCTTCAATTTGGGAGTTGCTGTGGCCCATTAGATCAGCAGGATGTAGCAATCTACTCCCCCCCCCCCCCCAGGCTGCTTTTGAGGCATACCAAGCTCGACCCAAATGAGACAGTTTGCTTCTTAGCATTACAGGAACTACTAACCAAGATGATGCACAATTACAGTAATCTAGACTTCAAGACGCATACATCATGCATGAACCACGTGGACCCACCAAGGCCTACACAAAGTAAAGTCATCCTGTAGTTAGTTAGACTCAGCTCTCCAGTTTACAAAGCCGTAGTCCCTACACACACACACACACACACACACACACACACACACACACACACACACACGGCATGCTGGCTAACAAAATGCTTTCTCCCCTACTCCCCATCACCTCCTCTTGTGAGCGTGTTAACAGTTGTAAACTTCAGGCACTTGGTTATTCTCCAGCATCACCACTTTGTAGTGTTACATAAAGGCTTATTGCTCATCAATTTTAATTAACAGCCTTGGCCGATTTGATGATTAGATTCTTGGAATTTACCACTTAAATACCAGCTCTTCACATGCCAGAAGGGTCGGATTCCTCTCTTCTAACCAGAGCAAATTGCCCCATTCGTATACGAATAAATTCTCCACTTCCCAGAACTGATGGCAAATTCAGAGCTCCATAAAATTCATGCATGACTCGCTGCTGTAGCTGCGTAATTAAAAGAAAACTAATATATTGACTACTTCTCCTCAAAATAGCGTTCATAAGTCACCGCTGCCTGAGGGAAGCTTGTTGCTAAAAGGATTATGGGCAATATCATCTTTATGATTAAAGAGAAAGTATAGCCCGTGTTTCCTCTCACACAGATCCAAAATGCTCCCTGCTAATGTTTTTCATAAGTCTTGAACTATCATGATAGCCATAAGGAAATAGTTGTCTACTGTACAGGCTCACCACTTTATCTCCATTGCACCGGCCCTCTCCAGTCCAATCCATACAAGGCTTATTTTTAACAGTGACTAAAGGGCTCCACACTCTAATTTATGCACACATATAAAATCAATAATTACTTAGTCGACCTTTTCATTCGTCTAAATTTGGCCTGGCATAATGGAAGCTGTCCACACAGTTCCCATGGAGAATGATAAACAGGAGAGGGTCGCACATCTCTATCTTTCCACTCAGGGTTGGATGAAACCAGAGGCAGTTCGGAGATCAGCCAGTCCTGACCTGAGCCACACAGATTTTCTTCTAGGATGACTGAGGAGCACCAAGTCTCTTTCCGAAGAGGAATGCTAACTTTGACGCAGCCCTGGATGGCTTTGTGAGGGACTCACCTGCAGTAGTGATCTACCCAATTAAAGAGCACAGTTCTCATGATGAGCAGCGGGAACTGTAATGGGCATCATCCCCCAAATGGGCACAAGCTATAAAGGGGCTCAGGTAAAAGTCACTTGCAAGCATCCCTGTAAAGGTTCAGGACGGAAGTACCCAGGGGTCCAGGAAGACTTTCAGAAACATTTGCCCATGCCTGTTCTGTCCCACAGCCTCATTCACTGCGGGCTTCTCCACGGCTGTGCTCCCCAGTGAGAAGGCTGGTCTCCTGCTGAATGCATGCCAACACAGCCTCACTTCATTCTCAAAGAGTGGACTTGGGATTTTTTTTTCATGAAATTAGCAAAAGAGAAACACAACAGGATAGTTGTACTTTTTCCTCTGTTCCTGAGAATTATTCACACTAACCTGAAAAGGTTTTCATTCACTATTATCAGTGCAGAAAGGAGGTCTCCACGCCTGATGTTAGCCACACCCTGTGTCTAGGACTCTTTGCCGTTGTTCATACTGAAGGAGAGGCTCAGCCATCTTGGCCAAGTGTCGTGGCCAGCCAGAGCTTGCACAGGAACTTTGAATCTGTTCTGTATGTCTGCAACTTTAGGTGCTACTCTACATCACCAGAGTATGTCAGCTATGATGCCGGAGGGTTATCCCAGCTTAACAGTATAGACTGTTATTTATTATGCATTTGGTACATGCTGGGCAATTTTTAAGGCACTTAGTATCTACCAACTCTCTGAGTCATCACTGCAAACCCAGAGAGGGTAAAGAGGAAACAGTTAACTCACCTTCCCCAAGGTCACACTGATGGGGAGTGACAGATCCACACTTACAGTCTGTGCGTTCCAATTCCAAGGCCCAGGTTTATCCATGAAGCTCTCCCCAGTTTAGAATGCTACATACATTATCTGACTGAAGCCTCCTAACAGCTCTGGCCTCCGACCCCGGCTTCTATCCATTGTGCTACACTAACCTCTTAGATTTCTGCCTGGCAACACAGCATCGCTTTAGAAGGCTTGAACAAAGGCTCCGTCAGGAGGACCTGTTACACAGCAGACGTCCTCTGACACCAGTCCCTATGTTTATCAACCACTGTTTAGGAAAGTTCCGTATTCCTCAGCAAGGATGCCTGGCATGTAAAAAGCACAGTGCACATCCAGCGAGCGCCGGCACCAGGGAGCAGTGAGGGGAAGATCACAGGGCCTGGAAGCCAGGAGGGAGTGAAAAGAGGGCTGAGGAGAGGCTTTGGAACACAAAAGCCCCAGACTCTCAGGGGTCTGGTGGCCAGCTGCTCACATCTTTGCATAAAACATGGGCACAGGGCTGCTGGGGGGGTGCGGTAAGGATGGCTCCTGGGGGCAACCAGCAAATTGGAGAATGTGCCTTGGTGAGGAGCAGAGTTAAGGGGAAAGCAGGCTTTTTCCTTGCATGTGCCTAAGAAATGCATATTGCACAGAGCTAAGGGGAGACAGAGCAATTCAAGTGCTAAGACACTCTGTATGTCGCTTTAAATTCTCCTGGCAACATCCAGTGTCCTCACCAACACAGAGGGGAATCTAGCCACCTGTCAACCCCAAGACACACTACCGACTGTTCGGGGAGATATTGCAGACAGGAAGGAGCCTGCCACAGTAATTACAGCACACTGTGATGGCCTTGAACACCACCATCCTCGCTGCATTGTCTTGGGCTTTCTGTCGGCCTTCTGAAAGCCAGCAGCTAACCGGGCATGCTTTACTGGCCAAAGAAACTGATGTTGGCTTTGGGTGATTTGTGGGATCTGAATTCTCATTATTCGGAAAGTATTACAGTCTGCAGTTGAAAACCCTCTAAGGAAGAAATGCCAGGTGCCAGAAACGACAGAGAAATCTAGGGACAGGATACTATGATTGTTTAATTATACACACTGGGTTTTATTTTTAATGGATTCATTCCACTTAAAGAATGTGCAATTTTTATTTTTTAATTAAAAACAAAACCTTAAATATGTTCACATAACAAAGCAATAAGATTAAGAGCTTAAGATTATTTACAATATAATTAAGATAGTATGTTTATTGAATGAGTATTTCAGATCAAATGACTGTGGTTGGAGAAGATGGGACATGAATCCCATTCCTCAGCTCTACATGAATACAAGAAAAATAGCCTGCTTCTGCCTGCTGTATTTGTACCCAGAGAGAAGATATCCCACCATGGCCAGCATGACTAGGGAGTTCAAGAGGTCAATCTGTGGAGACACTTTAAAACAATTAGACGTGGATAGCCTGGTTAAGTGATGAACGGCGAGCCTTAGTAAGTGTTTACAGAGCTTTGGAGTTGTGAACTCTAATAATATGAGGGATTATTCATTCAAATGTATGAGGAAAAATGACCAGAAAGAAATAAATCCAAACATTTAAAATGGTATGAAAATTGAGGATTACTTCATGAAGGAGGAGTCAGGCCGGCTCGTGATTAACAGAATGATGTGCTAAACACATACCAGGTGACACTCTCCCGCCAGCCCAGTCAGAATGCTCTAAAGATGCAGTGATGGGACATGATGCTCACTGGAAGGCTCACAAGCACCAGTGAGTGGAGATCCCGACTGCACAGCAGAATAAAGATGGACACTTGGCATCAGTGTGTGGCCTGCTGGCAATCTTGGAATTGATCTGTTGCTCAAAAAGTTCCTTAGGATCCAAGCAGCAGGGAGGCAACAAGTGTGAGGCGTAGCGACCGACCCACTCAGTCAGCTGAAAAGCGGGGCAGTGTATGTGAGTAACCACCGTCAGCAGTTTGAACACACGGGGTGGAGGAGGAAACAAAGCCAAGTACTCCACGCTCAGCACAGGAACTGAGTCCGTCACAGGCTGTGCTGGGACATGTCATGTCAATTAAGTGACATCATGAGGGTTTTTGTTTTGTTTTGTTTTTTTTCGAGACAGGGTTTCTCTGTGTAGCTTTGCGCCTTTCCTGGAACTCACTTGGTAGCCCAGGCTGGCCTCGAACTCACAGAGATCCGCCTGCCTCTGCCTCCCGAGTGCTGGGATTAAAGGCGTGCGCCACCACCGCCCGGCATCATGAGGGTTATGCACTGAAATTTTAAACTGTAGCTCTTTTATTTAAAAT